TCCAGTAACAGTAGATTCCTGGATATTTTTTGAATTTAGCCAAAACCTTTCCATTTCATCTGAAGCGAATTGGTCATTTTCTGATAGTGATCCAACGGTAGAATGATTTTCGAGTAATTCAAGACCTTTCATCTGAGCGCTAGAAGTAATGATATCTCTGATTCGGTTATCATTCATTAATCGACGCATTAGTTCTGGTTCAATTTTTCTGTTACTGTTCAGTAATGATCCTAAGGGTTGTATTTAAAAGAAAATTTAAAACCAATAATAATAATAATAATAATAATAATAATAATAATAATAATAATAATAATAATAATAATAATAAAGGCCAGTGTATCTTACCGAGTATTCCATTCATGCGTTCGAATGAAAAACACCAGAACGCATACAATGGGCTGAAATCATGACAACATTCAGACAAATGAAGCGAGAGATGTAGATTCGGCGTAATTTTATTCCTGCCGTATTGTACCTCAATGAGCTTTATTATTTTAACAAGTCGTCTATGGGCTTCCTGCAACATGTCAGATTCTATAATCTGACTTACCAATATCGAACAAATTCTGACAAAATGAGTCAGAATTTTTCTATCTTCAGCTGAGAGATGGTCCCAAAGCGATACTGTGGCATAAATTGTGAAAAAATTTCGCCACTGGTCAGCAGTGAAGTTAGAAAATCCTTTCCCGCAGTCGATTTTGCCAGGAATTCGACCCAAATCGACCGGAACTTGAAATCGATTCATTTGTTTTTGAACTTCATTGAGCATGCTTGAAGTTAAGATTCCCTGATCGACCCAAATTCGCTTCACAATCCATTTTGCAATGTCTAAAAATAGACAATGCATTAGATCAATGATAGTGAAATGAATTGGATCGAAATAAGGCAAGCGAAGTAGTTCTGACCATCTTACTCCAGTCTGTTTAACGAATCTCTTTCTTGATGCGTCTGAATTACACCATCGCCAGCTAAGTGCGTTTTGGAGATGTTCGTTTGAATCCCTGGCAACAAACCAATCCTCCATATCTCCCATTCCAGCAAAATTATGCTGATGATTTTCATAATTTGCCTTTTTCTGGCATCGGTGGCAAGAAACCAATGCAGAAACGTGCCCACAAATTTTTCTCGCAGCGGGTATATCGCACGATACCATTATCAACGCTGCACGAATTTTTTTTCCTAACTGATGCTCATATGTTCGATTTAGAATAATCCCTTCCCAGAGGGATGTCAGCTCATTAACAATTGGTGCAAGGTAATGATTAATTTATGTAGACTCACTTCGTTCAGACCCAGTAGCATTCCAAGGAGCAGCAAGTTTTCTCGCTTAAATCGTATGTTATGCGGCAAATTACAGATAACTGTATAAATGGCTCCGGTACTATGATTAGTTCCATCGAATGGCTGAAACCAGTCAACATTCAACATGAGGCCAAGATGCGAGTCGGCAACCTCATTTCGGAAAAAATTTAACGAATCATCGTTGTTTGTATCTTTGAATTCTTTCCATATTCGTCCATCATAAATATCGGATAAAATATTATCTGAATTTGATCGATTTGCCCAATGTTGGAGGGATTTCTCGAATTCAGGTCGACAAAACATATCAGAAAGTTGTTGTCGAAATCCAGCAAATGGGTATATTGATTCGGCTTGAACTCTTGAAACATCGATTTGTCGTGATAAAGGTGTGTCGCAAGTGCGTGTACCTCGGTGAGACGAGTTTGGGAACTCGATATGGTGGCATTTCATAACCAATAAACTCTTGTTTTGACGAAAGTTTTCTACATCCTGTTTATTATAGAGTTTGTGGCATTTTGTACATGGAACAAATCTCTGAAATCGGTCTTTTAGGCCAAGTACTTTTTTCGCTAGGTAAAGAGAATCTGGAAAAGTTCTAAAATTTTCACCACCGATTTCGTTTAGAACTATTTTTATGAACTTTATTAAAGATTCGGTTGCCGTTTCTGGGATATTTTATGTTATACGGTAGTTCATTATCCATAATAAAATCCATGAAAATTTATCATCGATCGGATTTTCTTCGGCATCCATGTTGGCTTGATACGGAGGAGGTGAATAATCTTCAAAAATTTTGTTGTAAGATTCATTATTTGATTCGCTACCCAAAGACATTTCAGTGTTTTGTTCGCTAGTATTATATACGTCCGATTCGATATTCAAACTTGTTGATTGAGGCATAGGATGGCTTGTATATCTTACGCGCCTCCGAGGTAAAAAAGAACAATTAACATCTATGTCCCCGGGT